TTCTCGATCAGAGCTTACAGAGCACTAAACACTCTCACCTTGCTCTCAAGTGACATTTCCTAGACACCCAGTGGTGCATTGGGGGAGGCATGAGACCGAGCCACATTGTCCTCCATACCAGGAGGCAGTTGGGTGGTAATGGTTAAGTTGATCCATAGCCAAGCTATGAACATTTTACCATTCACTTATTTACAAGCAGTTAATAGGCCTTAAAACAAGTTCTCACTGACCTCTGTAGCTGCAGGTACTCTACAGTAATTCATTCTCAAAGTTTACAGGAGAAACAACTGTCACATTCTCTTTTTCTCAGTAGCTCATTTTGCTCCACCTCCTAGCAGTGAGTTGGCAGCCTGTCAGCCTTCTAATTTCTAATGTAAAAACATAGCAGGTGCACATGATCTTAGTCCCTTAGGACATGCAGAATATCGAGGATAATACCACCTAATCCATAAAACAACCACCCCTTCAACCTTCCCCACCTAAATAACCACACAACTCTACTTTTGGTGTAAAACCGTCCATAGTAGCCTATTTATTTAACATAACTTGTACATAACACTTCTTACAGTACAATCAAATAATAACTGACAGTAATGATCCCAACAAGGTCCAAGGTCTTCGGAGGCACTGTTACTCACATCAATAACTCGGCTGTATCTGACACCCAATGAAAAGGCCCCCAGCTGCTACTACACCGCCTCGGGGACAATACTACAGTTACGTAGTCTCAGATACAGCCAATGAACTCCCACCTTACCAATGTGACCTTATAATTGGGAAAGGACACTACCATGGGCCCAACCCATAATCCACCAAATTGTCACTCCAGCACCGCCTTCAAAGACCCAGCAACCCCTGCCTGCTGCCATGACAAAACAAAAACCAGAAAAACACCTCAGGACACAAAATGCTGATCAGGACAAGAAAACAAAATCAACTAACCAACACAATACAAACAACACAACAAACACAAAGAACAAAACCAATAACAAAAAAAAACCCAGCAAAACAACGAAACAGCTTCAGCGAGGGAGGGTGGGAGAAACCACACCCGTGCTGGCACAAGCTCGGACTGACCTCCGACAAGTCTCAACCCCAATCCTCATCCTGGCAACACCATCCTCAAGCTCGAATACTCCAATCAGGTGAGTAACCACCCCTACCTCCTGAATATACTCCCACCCAAATCCAATCTCCGCCTTGTCTGCAAGCCCCAGTCATGCTGGCCCCGGGGTGTATTTTCCACAAGGCAAACAAGGCATTTGCCTAGGGCGGAATTTTTCAGGGGGGCAGCACTGCCTCTCGGAAGAAGGGACACAAGAAGGGACACACGCATCATGGGGACCTGGTGGGTTCTGAGAGAGGCTGTGGGTTACATGACGGTGTATGCACAGGCCGACTCTCGTTCTTGGGGATGTCCACAGCTGTGAAGGTGAGTGCCTTTCTCTCTCTCGCCGTCGGGGATGGTGACTGGTATATGGGGGCAGTGGTAATGGAAGGCTCTCTCGGGTGAGGGGCAGGGGTGTTGTTGGTCATTGTCAGGCTCTCTCTGCAGGTAGGGGGGGCACTGATTTTTGTGTTGCCTAGGGCAGCACAAAGCCTAAATACACCACTGGCTGGCCCTCCCTTTTAGCTTCTCTCAGTCCAGGCCCTGACTGGAAGAGGGAAGAGCAGAGTGCTGAGACCCAACTTGAACTACTTCCTTGCTTCTTTTGTGAACATTGAGGATGAATTGCTCTACAGTGATGGGAGCTGCAGAGGTCAGGGGTGGCTTGTTTTCAAGCTCATTTATAGTTTGTTAGGAAAATATATAAACACACATAGGACTGTTCTAGTTTAAAGTGGACCTTGTACTACAAGCAAGGTCTGCCTATTGACTTGACTGTCTGCTTATTGACCTCCATTGCTGCTCAGCAACTGCTTTCATTTTGTTCCTGTAAGTGGACAGTTCAATACAGTTTACAGTATAGATTATTATTATATAGGATTAATATAGCGCCAACAGTTAGCGCAGCATTTTATAATATAATGGGGGACAGTACAATTACAACACAATTCAATGCAGAAGGATTGGGAGGACAATGTTTCTGGATCTTAAAAACTAAAAGGAGGGGGATTTGGTACAAAAGGCAAAAGGTAATAGCTGCAGGAGATGATCTGATGGAGGTTACTCAAGCACCACTAGGTGAACTAGGCAGCAGCCTAGGGTGCACTGCCACCTAGGGCTCAGCCACTGACACTGGTTTCCCTACTCTCCACCTTTGCTGGATCTAGGGGGGTTGCTGGGGAGGGCTACCCCCCCCCACAGATTCCAGCTGTGCCCCCCCCACAGATTCCAGCTATGCCCCCCCCCCACTGATTTGTACTAAAAATTGGGGGGGATTTGGGTAGGGTGGGAGGATTTTATGCTGGGAAGGGTAATTTGTTGGGGTTTTTCTAGGTGGGGGGGATTAAAGGAAGAGGATACTGGGAGGGGATTGGGGAGGGATTTGTGTTAGGAGAGATGATTGGAGGGATTTGTGTTAGGAGAGGGGATTGGAGGGATTTGTGTTAGGAGAGGGGATTGGGGAGGGATTTGTGTTAGGAGCTGGGATTTGGGGAATTTGTGTTAGGAGGGTGGATGGGGGAGATTTATACTGGGAGGTGGGATTTGGGAAGGAATTGTGCTAGGAGGGGGGATTTGGGTGGTGAGGAAGGATTGGTGTTGGGAAGGGTAATTTGTGTGGGGGGGCTTGTACTAGGAAGAGGGATTGGGGGGATATATGTTCGGAGGGGGATTTGGGGAAGAGGATTTATGCTAGGGTGGAAATTTTTAGGGGAAAGAGGATGTGCGCTAGGAGGGGTGAAGTAGAACTACAGATGAATTTACATTTTTTGGGGGGGAGGGGGGTGCAAGTAGCTGGTCTTGTCTAGGGCGCAAAATAGTCTAGCACTGGCCCTGGTGACATCCATATATCTTGGTATTGTCGGTGTAGAGGTGGTATTGGAAGCCATGGGGTGGTTATCCATTGGTCCAGGAAAGAGGTGTAGAGAGAGAATATGAGGGGCCCAAGGATGGAGCCTTGGGGTACCCTAACAAAAAGAGGAAGAGGAGGGGAGGAGGTGGTGTTGAATGTGAAGCTGAATGTGCACTGAGAGAGGTAAGAAGAGAACCAGGAAAGAGCAGAATCGTGGAGGCCAAGGGAGTGGAGTTTATTGAGGAGGAGCAGGTGGTCAACTGTGTCAAAGGCAGCAGAAAGTTCTAAAAGTATGAGTATGGAGTAATGGCCATTGGTTTTAGCAGTTAGTAGGTTGTTAGTGAGTTTATAATGATAATATAGATCTGCAAAGTCACTGTTTTCTCTGAGTCTTTCCAAGTTTTATCATGTGTTGAGCCTTGATGAGCCCGATCCATTATGCTCAATCCGCAGATCTGATCTGTCGGCTATCTTTACAACGTACCTTTTCTTGGAGCGGGTCCGGTGTCACCCGTATAGGTTGCATGCCGACAAGCAGCAATGTCTGACTCTCAGACAAGTAACCACTGTTACGAAATGATCTTTTTAGCTACAATATCTGTAAGGGGGGATTCCTCCCAATGACCACAGATGTAAGAAGCATTCTCCTTACAGAGACTGTGGACATAGTACAGGAGATGACCCGGAGACTGCGGACATAGTACAGGAGAGGGTCAGAGACTGCGGACATAGTACAGGAGATGACCAGAGACTGAGGACACAGTACAGGAGATGACCAGAGACTGCGGACACAGTACAGGAGATGACCAGAGACTGCAGACATAGTACAGGAGATGACCGGAGACTGCGGACACAGTACAGGAGATGGCCAGAGACTGCGGACACAGTACAGGAGATGACCGGAGACTGCGGACACAGTACAGGAGATGACCAGAGACTGCGGACACAGTACAGGAGATGACCGGAGACTGAGGACACAGTACAGGAGATGACCAGAGGCTGCGGACACAGTACAGGAGATGACCAGAGACTGCGGACACAGTACAGGAGATGACCAGAGGCTGCGGACACAGTACAGGAGATGACCAGAGACTGCGGACACAGTACAGGAGATGACCAGAGGCTGCGGACACAGTACAGGGGATGACCGGAGACTGCGGACACAGTACAGGAGATGACAAGAGACTGCAGACACAGTACAGGAGATGACCGGAGACTGCGGACACAGTACAGGAGATGACCAGAGACTGCGGACACAGTACAGGAGATGACCAGAGGCTGCGGACACAGTACAGGGGATGACCAGAGACTGCGGACACAGTACAGGAGATGACCAGAGGCTGCGGACACAGTACAGGGGATGACCAGAGACTGCGGACACAGTACAGGAGATGACAAGAGACTGCAGACACAGTACAGGAGATGACCAGAGACTGCAGACAGTACAGGGGATGACCAGAGACTGCGGACATAGTACAGATGACCAGAGACTGATGGACATAGTACAGGAGATGACCAGAGACTGCAGACATAGTACAGGAGATGACCAGAGACTGAGGATAGTACAGGGATGACCTGAGACTGCGGACACAGTACAGGAGATGACCAGAGACTGCAAACATAGTACAGGAGATGACCAGAGACTGCGGACACAGTACAGGAGATGACCAGAGGCTGCGGACACAGTACAGGGGATGACCGGAGACTGCGGACACAGTACAGGAGATGACAAGAGACTGCAGACACAGTACAGGAGATGACCGGAGACTGCGGACACAGTACAGGAGATGGCCAGAGACTGCGGACACAGTACAGGAGATGACCAGAGACTGCGGACACAGTACAGGAGATGACCAGAGGCTGCGGACACAGTACAGGGGATGACCAGAGACTGCGGACACAGTACAGGAGATGACCAGAGGCTGCGGACACAGTACAGGGGATGACCAGAGACTGCGGACACAGTACAGGAGATGACAAGAGACTGCAGACACAGTACAGGAGATGACCAGAGACTGCAGACAGTACAGGGGATGACCAGAGACTGCGGACATAGTACAGATGACCAGAGACTGATGGACATAGTACAGGAGATGACCAGAGACTGCAGACATAGTACAGGAGATGACCAGAGACTGAGGATAGTACAGGGATGACCTGAGACTGCGGACACAGTACAGGAGATGACCAGAGACTGCAAACATAGTACAGGAGATGACCAGAGACTGCGGACATAGTACAGGAGATGACCAGAGACTGCGGACATAGTACAGGAGATGACCAGAGACTGCGGACACAGTACAGGAGATGACCGGAGACTGCGGACACAGTACAGGAGATGACCAGAGACTGCGGACATAGAACAGGAGATGACCAGAGACTGCAGACAGTATAGGAGATGACCAGAGACTGCGGACATAGTACAGGAGATGACCAGAGACTGCGGACACAGTACAGGAGATGACCAGAGACTGCAGATCTTTGGGGAACGGAAAGGGGGGGGGGCGGGTACCCGAATCTGACAGATACTCGCTCCCACTTCCGCAGAGTTGTCCTCCCTCCCCGTCTTCTGGAACACATGACAGGTCCCAGAGGACTGCCGCACCATTCACAAAGCTGAGCGCTTCTCGCACATGTGCAGTGGGCACCCGCCTGTGAAATCGCAAGCTGTTACAGCCGGGTGCCCACAATAAAGATGCCTGCGCCAGGGAGAGAAGATGGTGAGGACACCACTAGACGGAGGAACAGGTAGGACCAAGGATCAAGTTCTGCTGCACAGAAGAGCCGAGCCAGTTATTCTAACGTGGCGGTGGTGGGAATACCGGTGCTGGCCGCTCCATATTCACTTTATAAGATGCGCAGACATTTTCCCCATTTTTTTTGGGGAAAAAAAAGTGCGTCTTATGGAGCAAAAAATACAGTAGTTATTATAAGTAGGGGGTCCCTGAACTTTGAAAGCTATTTCAAGGGTTCCTCCATGTTCAAAGGGTTGGGAAAGGCTGCTGTAAAAGCATAAAATCTTGGTGCTCTTCTATGCAGAACATTTTACTGCTCTATCCTGGCTTAGAATATTGTAACAAGGCCTTATATGAAATTACTGTATTTTTACCATTGAAAAGATTCTGATCTGTTCTTTCAGCCGAATCCCTATCACCGTCCTGCAGACTTTACCTCTGTAACATTTTCAAAATAAGCCCCTTCTTAACCAATGAAACACCAAGCTATCCATTCACTCCCTTGTTATCTCTCGCCTCAACCATTGCAACTCCATCCTCCGTGGCCTACCTCTACACAGGCTATCCCACCGTCAATCTAGCATGGATGTTGCTGCCAGACTCATGTAGCTCACTGACTGATTAGCTCCCAGCACCCTTCTCTTCCAGTCCTTCCACTGGCTTCTGCTCACCCAACAAATAATATTCAATACTAACAACAATGTACAACTCATGGGGCCCCTGGGCAATAGGGGATAATGGGGCCCCTGTGTCCTTGCCCAAACTCAAAAAAGCCTATGAAAAAGGTACCAGGGGCATCTCATGGGGCCCCCTACTGACCCCGGGCCCTCGGGCAGTGCCCGAGTTTCCAAATGGTCAGTCCACCCCTGCGTACAAAGCCATTTCAAACTCTGCAGCGAGCTACATCACCAATCTCATATCAAAGTATCAACCAAAGCTCTTAGCAAGACCTCCTGCTCTCTAGCTCCCACACAACCTCCTTCCATCCTCTCCTTCAGGATTTTTCCCAGGGCCTCCTCCATCCTCTGGAACTCCCTACTTCAATCTGTCTGGCTATTTCCCACTCTGTCCACCCTTAGCAGATCCCTGTAAACTCAACCTTTCAGTAAAGCCAACCCTGCCTCCACCTAAAAACTGAACTTTTACGTTTGTTATCTTCTCATCCCTCTCACAGTTATAAACCCATATAACACTCGCCCCTCCCTATTAATCACTTCCAGTCCGGACACTTTTACCCCCTTCCTGCCCAGGCCAATTTTCAGCTTTCAGGGCTATCACACTTTGAATGACAATTGCGCAGTCATGCAATGCTGTACCCATATGAATTTTTTACCATTTTTTGAGACAGATAAAACTTTATTTACTTTATTTTATTTATTTACCATTGTGATTTTTATTTTTTTCTATATAAATGAAAAAGTCCAAAAATTTTGAAAAAAGGTGTTTTTCTTATAACATTTTGCAAATATTGACCAAAGTGTAGTCAGCTATCTTTTTAGTAAAAAAAAAATAACCCAAATTAGTTTATAACCAAAAATGATAATTTTTCAAAAAAATTTATTACATTTTAATTTTTTTTATATAATTTATGTTTTTTTTTTTATGTACTGTCACCCTAGCAGTACAGTGTCACCATAGTGACACTGTACTACTTGTGGGGGGTGATGAAAACTTTTTTTTTTTCTTTTTTTTTCTTTTTTTATACTGATTGCTTTTACACCCATAAAGGCTGTAAAATCAATCATTTCTCCTTCTCTCTGGCTGCATTCCTGCAGCCATGGAGAAATATTGTGAGAGCTGTGATTTGTCACAGCTTGTCACATGGTACAAGGCTTTTGTGAATAGCCCTGTACCATGTGATCTCTGTGATCAATCACAGATTTCACTATTTCGCAATGATGTCAGGAAGTGACATCCTGTTTATTTACTATTCATGTGATCACCGATTGGCCAATCAGTGATCACATGATCGGGACCTCACACAGAGGTCCCGTACAGTGATCGGTTCCAGGGAGCACGCACAGGCAGTGAATGTGGGGGCCGTTTATAAAGTGGTTAAACTGTAAGCTCTCAAAGACGGTGATAAAGGATCTTCCTGTCTTAAATTCTGCTATTGCCTGGGTACTCTTATCTTTTTGGAGCCCGGCTCAGAATTCCATTGACTCCAGCTGGACTTCTGAAACAGAACTTTCACATTTTGGAAATTTGTGAATTTATTAACTCATGGTGCCCCCGGGCAATAGGGGATCATGGGGCCCCTGTGTCCTTGCTCAAACTCAAAAAAGCCTATGAAAAAGGTACCGGGGCATCTCATGGGGCCCCCTACTGACCCTGGGCCCTCAGGCAGTGCCCAAGTTTCCAAATGGTGAGTCTGTCCCTGCTCCTAGTCGTCTTGTGTTGAACTGTATTGTAACTGTATTACATAGTTCCATAGTTAGTCTGCCTGAAAAAAGACAAAAGTCCATCCAGTCCATCCAGTCCAACCATAGAAGTAAAAAAAGAAGAAAAAAAAAGAGAAAAAAGAAAAAAAGAAAAAGATAAAAGAAAAAAAGAAAAAAAAAAGAGAAAAAAAAAAGAAAAAAAACATTATTGTACAGTGCTGAGCAAACTGTTGGCGCTATATAAATCCTGCATAATAATAATAATAATAATAATAATAATAATATATAAATCCTGCATAATAATAACAATAATATATAAATCCTGTATAATAATAATAATATATAAATCCTGTATAAAAATAATTTATAAATCCTGTATAATAATAATAATATATAAATCCTGTATAATAATAATATATAAATCCTGTATAATAGTAATATATAAATCCTGTATAATAATAATAATATATAAATCCTATATAATAATAATATATAAATCCTGTATAATAATAATAATATATAAATCCTGTATAATAATAATAATATATAAATCCTGTATAATAATAATAATATATAAATCCTATATAATAATAATAATAATATATAAATCCTGTATAATAATAATATATAAATCCTGTATAATAATAATAATATATAAATCCTGTATAATAATATATAAATCCTGTATAATAATAATAATATATAAATCCTGTATAATAATAATATATAAATCCTGTATAATAATAATAATATATAAATCCTGTATAATAATAATATATAAATCCTGTATAATAATAATATATAAATCCTGTATAATAATAATAATATATAAATCCAGTATAATTATTATAATAACTACACAGGGAAAAGCTGGTTCCACCTATAGGCACAAGCCTACTGTGCTCAATGGTAAGTCCAGTCTTACAGGTAAAATAAAAAAAATGGAACTCATGAAGTGTTATTCTTGTTTCATGGATTTACAGAACGATGTTATCAAGTAAACAATAATGGAATAAAATAGCCATCCTTTAATGCTTTTGGATCTGTACCGGTTTAGTTGCGTATATCCTTCTGGGGACACCTCCTCTAGGAAAAAATTCAGATCCATAAAGTTGTTATCATAAATTGTTGTTTTCCTTCAGGAAAATATAATGACATGATAATTAGGGAATTACAACCATCAGCTACAATTATGCTTCTTTTATATAAAGGCGGATGAATGTACAGAGACATACAGATCACGGCACGCTAAACGAGAAAAATGAGGTAACCTATCATTTGGTTACGGGAAAATGGAGGAAATGTGGAAAAATGTTGAAGGGACTCTATCCTACAGCAAAGATGGAAGTCTGACTTTTGGGATGATCTGGATTGGTATGGACTAGTTTGGAGACATTGGTTTGCAGTGGACCTGAGTAGGTCCAGCTTCACTGCATGTATCCCATTGGTAGGGTCACCTTTTGGGTGGTATTTTACAGGCCTAGCTGGTAAAAATGGAACATGTAGCCAATGTTACTGTTTTTTTTTTTGTAGTGGTAGGCACGTGTATTGTCATTCGTTAATGTATGTTTCTTTTAGGTACTGACCAGGGGTGGACTGACAACTCATGGGGCCCCTGGGCAATAGGGGATCATGGGGCCCCTGTGTCCTTGCCCACACTCAAAAAAGCCTATAAAAAAGGTACCAGGGGCATTTCATGGGGCCCCCTACTGACCCCGGGCCCTCGGGCAGTGCCCGAGTGCTCGAATGGTCAGTCCGCTCCTGGTACTGACTTGCATTTTGATCTGCGCTGATGCAAGTTTTCTTTTTTTCTTAAAAATTTTTAGTAAATAGGGTTAACAGCCATTGACCAAGGTTTGCTAATACATGTGGTCAACACATCAAAACACACCAAACACTTAAAGCAGAGGTCTCCAAACTATGGCCCTCCAGGTGTTGAGGAACTGCAAGTCCCATGAGGCCTTGCAAGACTCTGACAGCCACAGGCAAGACTCCCAGAGGCAGAGGCATGATGGGACTTGTAGTAGTTCAACAGCTGGAGGGCCATAGTTTGGAGACCCCTGAGCTAAAGCATAAAGAACATTACTCTTTTGTCCACGAACCTCTAGGCAGGTGTAGCCCCCTTTCCCCAAATTGTTATACTTACTTAGATATTTCTCTGAGGACCACAGTGTTGTATACATTCCTCTACCAGCTTCTTGGTCCCATGTTTGCACATTCGCAGTTCAAACCCATAGCTAGTCTATAGCTAGTCTATGGGGGCCTAACTGCAGCATATGCATAGAATCAGATTAACAAGCCAGCACAGGAACATAAGCAATGTCATGGTCTGTTAAGCAAAATCTAGTTAAAGTGTTACTAAACCCGGGGCCCTGCATTCATTATATCTGGTCTCCCTGGACCCTGCATTCACTATATCCACTCTCCCCGGACCCTGCATTCACTATATCTGGTCTCCCCGGACCCTGCATTCACTATATCTGGTCTCCCCGGACCCTGCATTCACTATATCTGGTCTCCCAGGACCCTGCATTCACTATATCCGGTCTCCCCGGACCCTGCATTCACTATATCCGCTCTCCCCGGACCCTGCATTCACTATATCCGGTCTCCCCGGACCCTGCATTCACTATATCTGGTCTCCTCGGACCCTGCATTCATTATATCTGGTCTCCAG